AAAAAAAAAAAAAAAAAAGTTATCTGATCAAAGTTTTCTTTGCGGAGTTGGGGAGATCTCGGCGCGCAGTCCAACCATAATTTCAAAAAAAATAATATTTTTTTTTTTGACCCATTTTTGGGCCCAACCGGAATTATAGTTGGACCACCGGGGGTCCAACCGGCCGGTTGCCGGCACAGCCCTGATAAGAACTCAATTCACAGTCCCTCCTTCCTCTGCCGCTCAATCAGCTTCACCATGAAACCAAGAATCTCAACTGAGTTAACAACAACATCACAACAAGCTCAAGACAGGCTTGATCAAGCCTTCAGGGGTCTTCTTCCTCCCTCCTTTCACACCTCTTCTCAGATCCTGGCTATGGTGCTCACTCAGGAACCCAGCCCCCAGCCCCCAGCCCCCAGCCCCCAGCCCCCAGCCCCCGGCCCTCCAACCTTCAGACCACCAGCGCCTCCACCCAGCACCACTCTCTGCACCAGCGCCTCACCAGATCAACTCAGAATCAGCTGCTCCTCTCGGAACCAGCCCAGAACCAACAGCGCCAGTCCAGACTCCTCTGAAGATGGACAGCGGCGTCAGCGCCAGCTTCAGGAAGGAGTGCACTCCAGCTTGAAGAAGAAGATACAGCTGCTACAAGTTCCAGATATGGCAACGCCTAACCCCCAGCAGCACAGCTATGGTGTCACCAGGCTCAGTGCCCGAAGCACCTGCTCCATTGCTGGCTCTGAGCCCTGGCAGTCGCCTCCGGCTATGGCGCTGCTCCGACAGCCTGGCGACATCAACGACAATCTTCTAGCAGACCAACAGGTCAGAGACCTCTTCCTCTACTAGCTGACTCTATTTATAGTTCTCTGCCATCCTACTTGACCGGGCCTCTAGGACCTAAGACAACTAAAATAACTGCCTGACTTTCCGGTAACTGTGGGACCAGTCCTAGGCAGTCACGGAGTGTCAACAGTCCGTTGCATTAGCAGAAGGTCACCAGTCCCTTGCAGTAGCAAAAGGTCACCAGTCCTTCACGGTACCGAAGAGCCAAGTTAGACCTGGACAAGGTTTAGGCCAATAGTACCGAATTTTAGGAATATACAGAAATGTCCTGAGGAGGATTGCCAGTAGGGCTGAGTAGGTGCAAACACATCTAGTTTTTTTTTCCCATTACTTTTTTCACAACTTTTCACTGTTTTCACACAAAAGACTTGGCAAACGCCTGGGAAGACCCGTTGGACTTCTGGTCGACTTCACATCTGCCATTTAAAATGTTTTTTTTTTAATTATTATTTGTACTATCTGCAAGGAAAATGAGCAATAGCGAGATGACAATGTCCAGCATGCACGAACACATTGAAGGCCAGATAGTATCACAGTATCCAGAAAGCAGAAATGCACCAATATAACACCAATGAAGATCCGTAACACTGAAAACCAATGTCAGTGAGAGCTTGCTCTCGCCACCACCAACACGAGTGTCCAGGCCCTATCTTCCTACTTGGCGCTCGGCGCATAGCCTACTATCTACACAGCTACTCTCTGCCTGCTAATTGACAATGCAACTGTTGACGTCAGCACCCTCCGAAGTACTTGAAGATGTCGCCCATGCAGACTATCGCCAATACCAGGTATGTGCCCTCACATCATAATCATCATCATCCTTCTCTCTCTCTCCCTCGTCTTACTCCCACGTCTTCCCTTTGTACACCCGCCTGTGCCTCACTGTACAACCAAGCCCAACCAGCTATGGAGGCTGGGCTATGGCGCTGCCCTTAGCAGCGCCCTGCTCCCTGCACGACCGCACGCGCTTGCACCTCGCCTCTCAGCGCCAGCAGCAGCCCACGAGCGTCTGCTCCAGCAGCGCTGCCGCTAGCATGCGAGTGCCTGAATCCCCCTCCAGGCAGCGAGCTCTTTCCTATATGGAAAGAACCTGGCTGTCTTGGCCTGGGCCCAGAAGCTTCCGGTAGGCCCCAGGATGCTGCGCCTCTCTTGCAGCTACTGGGCCTCATTCGGTTGGGCCTCTTAACTGTCTGTGTATGAGGCTGCGATTCTCGTCCAGGGCCTGCATCATTTTGGAAAGGCCTGGAAGGCCGTGGAATGTCTCGCTGCTCGGCCTGTGTTTTCCTCAACCAACTGGCGAGACGAAACTGCCTGGACCCCAAATACGATATTGACAGCTTAGGGCCTCTAGTGATTTGTCAGGCCCGCCGTCACTTAGGGCGGGCACACCTGCAGCAAGAGGCCCCTTAGGCCTGCCGAGGACCCAGATCCTCACATATCTTTCTTTCATTCTTCAAGTTTTGAAGGAACGCAGCAAGCATCTGCATCTATATGCAGTTTGCAAGTCTGGACGTGTACTCATCATCATGAGTGCTTTCCTCTTTTGAAGACCTTCGGATATGCTTCTATTTTTAGAAAGTTGAGTCCTGCTGATCATTGTAGCAATGGTGATAATGAAAAGGATGAATCCGATGAAGGATAATTTGGCTGTGCATGTATGATGCTTGTACTGACAGGTTCTGGCTTGGGCTAAAATATGTACAAGTAGCCCTTTGCGACCGCTGGCAGAGCTCATTGGGAGATCTCACCTCAACCTGGCTTGTGCTTATTATGACAAGGTATTTGAAAAAGGTGCTGCTTCTAAGATCGCTTTCCCATAGAAAAACAGCAGATCATGGTGCATATAATAATAATAATACCAACAAGTTAAAATAACAGTATTTGAAATTACATTTCATTATTTCTATTTGCAAGGAAAATGAGCGAGAGCGAATGACAGACATCCAAATTGCATCATCACATTGAAAGCCAGATAGTCGTGTGTTGAACAGAAAACAGAATGCACCAAGTTACACACCAAACAAGAGCAAAGCAATGAACTCAGTTGTCAATGTCAGCCCAAACTCGCCGCCACCAACAATGTTGCCCTTCTGTATGGCGCCTGGCGCCCAACTACAAACTCATGACACCTACGCTAGCCTACACTACATGCCGTAACCGGAAGCACTTCAACAGCAGACTGATGTACATGAAGATGTCGCCCAAGAAGACCTCCATGACACAGAAAGCACATCCCTTCTCTCTCCCTATCTGATCCCTTGTTTTCCCTCCATGGCTGTGCAATGACTTGCTGGTTTTTGGTCGCCTGTAGCCTCTCTCTTGTCGAGGCTGTACCATTTGTAGGTCAGATTCGTAATTTTGTTTGGCTGAGGGCTAATCGAGAGACCTGCCTGTACGAAAATCCGGTAGGGACATATCTGTAAATTTGTGAAAAAAATATAGGCCCCTACTAATTGGAATTCCTACAACT